CTTATTAAATCAATTGTTTTGGCACAATTTTTTCTGCCCAGCTCAAAGAGAGAGATAAAACAGAGTTTTATCTCTCTTTCCAGTTTCCTTCTAAAATTAATTTTCCATGTGATTTACAAAACAGTGTCTGAAACCAATCCAGTGCCCAATGAAAGATGAATGGAGAAAAAAACTGATATATATGTGTATATATGTGTGTATACATATATAAATATAAATACACATTATATACATAGAACATACATATATATGTACACACATAATTAAATACAACCTAGTTATAAGAAAAGATAAAATCTTGTTTTTGCTTCACCTTAGAGGGAATTAATGGGATTCATGTTAAGCAAAATGAATCAAGAAAAGAAATACAATTGCTGACTTATCTCACTCATATGTAGAACATAAAGAAACACAACAAGATCATCAATGAACATAAACACTAAGACTGCCAAAAGAACTGTGTTTGCCAAGTTCTCAGGGAGGGAAGATGGGAGAAAGGAGGAAAAAACAGATAAGAGGGACCAAAAGACAGAGGTGGAGGAATTGGTACTTGTGTGAAGAGAGGGGTACATAACTTTGTTTGTGCAAAGTATAAATATTAATACAATTGTTAAACACTACTACCTCAGGTTTTTTAAAAAGATAGTTAAGAGAAATAATACAAATTGCTTCACAGATGTCAACTTATCACAAAGTAATAAAATGTCTGAATAAAAGGCACTCGTTATTTCACGACAAGCTAAAGCTCTTAGACTTGAACTTCCTTTTGTGCTTAATGTCTATTGCAAATAATCTGGTCCAATCCAAACTATTTGCAACTAACTAGAACAACCATCTCATTAGAACATGTTCAATAGGACAATATAAAGATCTGATTCATTCTCTATCTCCCCCTTTCCCGCTCTATCCCATATGGAAGCCACAAACCATATGTAGATAATTAAGTCTTAATTTAAGTATAAAGTATTACATTTAAGCCCCCACCCCGAGAGTGGTTGTCCGTGCCTCTTCGCCACCCCCACCCCGACAGTGGTTGTCCGTGCCTCTCGGCCACCTCCACCTCGGCCTCTCTCGCGGCCAGCGGCGTTTGCGGGAGCGGGAAACAGTAGTTGTAGACGCCCGCCCCTGCCTCAGAGAAGACACCACAGCAAATGAACAAATATTTGAACATTTTACAGATACCTTTTATAAAAGGTTTATGTGGAGCAGTGCTTCAGTTTGAATCACAAAGGATTTCACTTCAGGAGTTAAGTGTGAGTGGACTATTGATCTAAACTAATTTTGTCATCTCTGCAGCATGGTTTGTAACTCCCCAATTGTTACACAGACTCACTATTTGGATAACTTGTATGCTAAAACACTGAAGCAATTAATAAGTGAATATGATCAGATTTCTCCATCAAGTTCTCAGCCTGATAAGGAGAATCTCTCGTTGTCAACCTAATGAAGCATTCAATGAAGACATATGACTCTTTTCAAGATGAACTTGAAGATTATATCAAAGTGAAGAAAGCCAGAGGCTTAGAGTCAAAGACTTATTTCAGAAAGATGAGAGAGGACTATTTGGAAACCTGTAGGTACAAAGAAGAGATTGATCACAGACCTAGGTATAGAATGTTTGATCAAAGACTCCCATCTGGAACTGTCCAGACCCACCCAAGATCATGCTCTATTTCTCAAATAGTGAAAACCAATTACCACAGTGGCTACCTGCTCATGACAACAAGCTAAGGTTGGACTCTCTGAACCATTGTCAATTCACCAGGGAGTGTTTCTCAGAAAAAGCAGTATCCCTGAACCTTAGTCAACAAAAATATAACTCTAACTCATACATTGTAGAATCTGGATTTTATAAGCATCTCTCCCCAGAAAATAATTCCAGTGCCCATCAAGATAGTCTCTCTCTCTGACTCTGAGAGAGTCAGAGCGAGAGGGACTAAAGCTTGAGAGAAAGAACAGTGTCCTGATCTAGGCCACACACAGGACTCAAGAGCACCGAACGCAGGCGGTGAGAAAGAGCCATCCAGTGAGCCCGTGAACACACAACCTTCGGTGTGATAAGATTTTACAGATAATTGTGTGTCAAGGGCAGTCTCCTGCCCCCGCACCTGGCTATTCCTCACCGGGGCCCCTTGGAGGGGAGCGGGTTGAGCTTTCCTCCCCGCCCTGACCAGGGCCCCGGCAGCCGAAGACCTCCAGGACCAGCCACCACCATGCTGAGACCACTCTCCGCACACATGAAGGTACCGGCAGAGGGACAAAGCCATGTGGGTTCCGGGGCCGAGATCTCCAAGCCTACTCGGATTGGAGTCGAGCATCCTCCACCCAGATCCTCCAAATTCCAGTAGGCGGGGGTCACACCCACCAACTGGCCTCCTGGCGCCGTGTAATCCCATCAGCGGCCAAGACTCAGAGACTATAAAAACCAGCTCCCGGTACCTCGCGGCCACGACATCTTATTATGACATCTTATTATCTCATTCCTACTTTGGACAAACTGGCAGGCTACCAAATGTAGCCTGCCCACACGGCAGAGTCTGGCAAACTCCCCGTGGCGTACCCAATATGCCAAATATCAGTAACAATGATGGGTCTCATTCTCCTAAAGAGCCTTGAATATAATCTCAGGGCTAGGATGAAGGAGATGTTACTGGGGCCTGCTCGAGGCAATCGACGAATAACAGGATGATCTGTGATCTGTGATCAAGATAGTCATAAAAAGATACATCAGAAGAGAAAAATCATACAGAGGAAAGCAAAGAAAAACCCAAAGAGGAAAGACCTAAGCATAAGGAAAAAAAAGATTTTGAGGAAACAGATTTAGACAGACACAAGAGTTACCAAAGGAATAAAACAGAGCTGGAAACAGTCAAGGTCAATACTGAAAAACCTGAGTCGAAAAGAGAAGAAAAGTCAAGATGTGCCTCTAATAAAGAAGAATGTAAGCATAGAAAAGAGAAAAAAGAACAAGGCAAAGAAAGGACAGACGAAGAAATGCTTTGGGACCAGTCCAACCTTGGATTTTGAAGCTCTTGAACTGGTTCTCCCAAGGTTCAGTTGAAAACTAGTTGAGGAACTTGGTGTTAAGACGTTCATGTTCATATCATTTTCCTCATGTTTCACTTCTAACAAAGGCCAAGTTAACAAGAAGTAGATGCTTACTCTCCATCAGGGAAATTAATTTACTCACATTCTAAAAGCATTATTATATTTTTCTCACATATAGTTTCCCCTATTGAGAGTGGCTCTTTTATTGATCAAATTTCTATAATGGTGGAAGTATTTTTTCCTTGGGAGGTTATTTTAAATCGTAAGATTAATAGGCTTTGCAGAATCTATTTCTTGATTGGGTTTGTTTTCATTTTGGGTGGGGTAGTCTTATATTCATTAGTTTTCTCTATGAAGAAATTTAGGTTGATATTATTCGTTGTTAGATCTAACTTGCAGTGTATTTTCTAGATTGGGAAATGGAAAATTAAATACATTACAATAATAAACCTAGGATACAATAGTTCAAAAAGTTTCAAAGTTAACATCCTAGAAGTCAGTTTATATTCTAGAAATATTTATAATAAAATGTTCTAGTTTTTACATTTCATTATTCTGTGTGAATGATCTGTTCCCATTCAAAAGTGATTTTTCTTTGAAAAGAACAATAACAGTTTGGGTAAGTCTACTATATAGTTATGAAAGGATTCTTTGTATACTGTACCTTTTTTATTTATATTTAAACCCACTTTGAGAATAGGAATTTATGAGTGCTACAATTTTTTCTGATAGAAAAATTTAAAGAAATAAAATGCCACTAGATAAAAAAATATTACATTTAGTTCCTCAATGACATCAACCACATTTTAATTGTTCAGTGCCACATGTAACTCAAAGCTATTCCAGGGGACAATTTAGACATGGGACATTTTCATCATCACAGAATATTCTCTTCTAGAATCTATTCTTGTGTAGCACTACTTTAGATTGCAAATTGCTCCTCAAAAGTGGATGTTAAATCTTGCTCAGTATTCTCTTTCTTTATTCCTAGAGCAATAGCTATCACATATTCATTGTTCCAAATGTTTCAGGAATTAAAAAAAAAATAATAGGGGGAAAGAAACATACACAAAGTGTAAAGTTTCTCAGAGACAAGTTATAGAGCAAGAACAGAAGCCAACTAAAATTTGACTTTTTAAGGAATTTTATTTTGGGGGAGAGTGGTAGGAGGCACACCTGGTGATGCTCAGGGGTTACTCCCAGCCCTTCACTTCGAAATCACTCCTAGCAGTGCTCTGGGAACCATATGGGATGTCTGAAATTGGACCTGAGTCTGTAGTATGCAAAGCAAGCACCTTGCGCACTGCATTACCTCTCTAGCCCACCAAGTGAATTTTTATAGACAATGTCTGGAGGTGGAGGAGGAGTTGGAGCCATGGTGCAGATGCTAGAGCACTTACCTTAATTTTAACTGACCCAGGTTCAATCCCTGTAGCACTGTAGCACTGTCCTCCCGTTGTTCATTGATTTGCTTTAGCGGGCACTAGTAACGTCTCCATTGTGAGACTTGGTTTTACTGTTTTTGGCATATTGAATACGCCACAGGGAGCTTGCCAGGCTCTGCTGTGCGTTTGGGATACTCTTGGTAGCTTGTCGGGCTCTCCGAGAGGGATGAAGAATCAAACCCGGGTTCATCATGTGCAAGGCAAACGCCCTACCTGCTGTGCTATGGCTCCAGTCCAGGATCAATGCCCCCTAAACCCTATATTATCTTCCAAGACAGTCAAGAATGATCCCTGAGCACCAGAAGAAAGTCCTGAGCACTGTGAGTGTTCAAATACCAAAAAAAATAAAGTATTAAGTCCAAAGGAATAAGTTTTCTACCTCTCTCCCATTCTCTCTTTCCTTCTTTTTCTGAAAGCAGATCTCTGCAATTTCCTGAGTTTCATAGACACCAAAGCAATGAAACAAGAGTACAAGAGGTAAATAAGAATTTAGCTGCCTCGTCTCACCTCAGTCTGGTGGCAGTTAGAGAGAGAGCCCTCAACAACATGGGAGTAACTCAGTAAAGGCCAACAGCAGCTGAGGAAAGCCTGGAAGCAACGGTTGCTGAAAGGATTCCAGATATCCAGGCTCAGGAGATCAGCCCTCCACCTCTGGGAGTCCTTGACTTGTCCAGGACAGGCAAAAAGTAGGCAGGACTCTAACGTAGCAGGGGCCAAGTAAGCACAGCAGGGAAGAGAACCAAAGTTCACAAAAAAGAGGATAGAGTTACTAATCCAACAGCAAATGGTACATTTCCTGCTCAAGAGCTGGTTGTTTTCTTTCTTCACCAAGAAGTACTTCCTTGCTTTCGTCCTCTCTCTCCTCCCAAAGAAAAACACTTTCTCATACTTTCTCCATAAAATTCACATTTTCGGGGTCCTGGCTTACATAGCCACATCTGCATTTTATTCTATATGTAGCACTGTAGCACAGTCCTCCGGTTTTTCGTGATTTGCTGGAACTGGCCCAGTAACGTCTCCTAGTAAGGTCTCTATTGTGAGACTTGTTGTTACTGTTTTTGGCATATCAATTATGCCACGGGGAGCTTGCCAGGCTTTGCCGTGTGGGAAGGATACTCACAGCAGCTTGCCAAGCTCTCTGAGAGGAGCGGAGGAATCGAACCCGGGTTGGCCTCTTGCAAGGCAAACGCCCTACCTATTGGTGCTATTGCTCCAGCCCTAATGTAGCCCTAACGTATTCTAACCTAGTCTCTAAATCTAAATCTTCGTTTGGTGCATACGTAGGTCACAAATCTGCGTTTCTAAGCAATCAATCTCCTGGGACCAACTCCTCCTGACTGGTCCCTGGGAGAGCTTTGCTACCCGCTGAGACGCAACTACAGGAAGAAAAACGAAAGCAGTTTTTCTCCCTGCCCTGCTTCATGTGCTAAAATTAGAAAGCAAAGCTTTCTTTTTGAGCAGGCAGCTTTTTGATTCAGACAGCTCTGAATCCCCAAGCACTCACCTGAATGCACAGACACGGCCTGGAACAAGATGGACTTCAGCAGTCCCGGACTTTGCACTCGGCACCCTGATTTACCTTATTAAAAACACCACACCTACTTTCGACATTGATGTTGTCCCTGCAGAAACAAACTGTCAACGGCTCCTTCTGTTCAAGTACCCTGTGACAGGGATGGCAGGGCTCTGAGCTAATGCTGCCACTTGCACTAGCTTTGGGCAGAGCCCAGAACCAGGCGGTTTGTCTTTTAATACAAGTATTTCCTCATGACATCTAATATTTCATCAGAGAGCTCAGATTTCGAACCTGTTTCCCTTGACTCTTCTGACCCTCCGAGTTCTGGGCTCTTTTTCTTCAGCTCTTTCGTTGTCTCAGCTGAGCCACTGGCTGTTTTAGACAGCCGCCGTTTTGGTGGTGTGGGGAGCAAAATTTGTACACCCCACGGTATCTCTGGTATATTGATTTATTGGGAAAATGACAAGGAGGGAGGTAGAATTTATCGGGGAGAGGGGAGGGCGGAGACTGAAAGAGGAAGCCAATAAAGGAGGAGCTCTAAAAGCAAAGTGGAGATTGAGCTATTCTAATTGCAAAGGTTTCCAATTTTATGGTTTCAATGAACTGAGAGATAAGAAAATGGATTAGAGAAAGAGCTTTAACAACTAGCTGACAGGTTGGAAGATGGCAAGCTTGTGTTCTGAAAAACCCTACTGCCTGGTCACAAGACCCAACTAGTAGAGGAAAAGAATGGGAAAGCCCCCTTTTAGTCAGATAATGTGGCAACCTGCTGGGTGCTCAGGTGAGCACAATCATAATAAATATGATTATGGTTTGGTTCTGTGATGCATACTCTGATTATCTCTTCCATAAATAGAAGGAAAGATTTCTGATGAAGCATTCTGTGTGCTGTCTTCCTAAGAAATGACAAGTAACTTCTTTTGTATTATTAGCAGTTTTTTCCCTCAAAAGAAATTTGCTGGGTTCTGTTTGGCATTTAGTTCTTAGCAACTTTGAGACAGATTTCACTCCAAAAAGACATTTTCATGGATAAAAGAAAATCTCTATTTGCAAAGAAGCTTCCCTGGAAAGATCAGAAGAGGAGGATGATCAAATCTTTTAATGCCTTACCAACTGAGAAGATTGCAAGGTATCTCTTATAAAGACTCTATTCTTTGTTTACAGCACTTTTGGTGGGTAACTTCCCATAACTTGCTATATCCTTTCTGGCTCAAATATTCTTTGTCAGTAACTCAATATGTAACTTAAGGAGATGGATTAGGCCATGTTGGTGAGTTATTTTATTGTCCTGGTTCTCTCCTCTCAACTTTTGATTCTTACAGGCATGCCGCAGCCTAGAACCCAGATAAGAAGAGGAACAATTATTTTTCCAGTCACACAAGTGAATTCTTAGAGACTAAGTACCATACATTCTTATTGAGGAAAGTGTGTGTTAAAGATATAGTTGGGATCTTTAGTAAATAAACATTCTTGGGGTCAATGAGATAGTCCAAAAGTTAAGGCATGTGCCTAACATGTAGCTAACCCTGGTTGGCTGAGAATGACTAAGAGGGGTCCTGTGCCTCTTAGGCACCACTTGAGGGATTCCCTAAATGAACAAGCAAATAGATAAATAAGTAAAACTTTTGGAATTTCCCGCAGCTGATTCTAACTTGATAGGTCACAGATAAGGTTCTGAGATAGGTGTTTTTCACAGAGGATTCCAATATGCACTACAGTCTAGAAACCACTTGTCCAAGCTGCAGCAGAAAAGCCAACACAGTGGGAAATGCCTCCACCAAACCAGAACCTGCACTATCAACCCTACAGTTAACACCATCAGTCACTAACCTTTGTCAAAATGTTCAAATAAACCAACCTAACGATTGCTCTTACCATGCGTTCAGGTTGTAAATTCCTACAGGGAATGAACCATATCTTTAAAGTTTTGCATCTCTTGCAAGCACTGAGGTCTATTGAGAATCTGGTGGTCTCTGAAATGAAAGAGATCTAGATTGGACCCTGAGTCCATTAGCATCACATGTCTAAATTCAGGGATGCTACTTAACTTCTGTTGTATTTTAGCTTTATAAAATTTCATTGAATGAGAGCATTGTGATTATAAAAAAAGCTTTTAAAGCAAAATATAATAAATCTTGAGGAGAAAGATCTGACCTTAGAAGTCATAGCTAAGTTAAACTATCTGAAATAGGGTGTTTTTAAGAACCAAACACAGAACTGGGGATGTATCTCATCAATAAACTACTTGTTTAGCATGTGTGAAACCCTGAGTTCAATCCCTAGTGCTATAAGACCCACCTCACCCCAAGTATTTCTTATTTATTAAGTTTTTTAAAAGAACACACATACAATTAAATTCATTTTCAATATCAAACTTTCTTTATTAAGTAATTCATACACCAGATAGCATTTTATAAGTTCCTGCAGGGCAGGAACTCAGTCTGCTTCTATCTCAAGGGTGCCTGAGAGTTCTCAGCCAGGAATTCAGTGTGCCCAGGACTTTTAGTGACTTGGCATGCATCTCTTCCAAGATTTAGTCATAAATCTATAAAACTGGGCCAATGAAAGAGAAGCTGAAACTGCATTAGTTAGACACTAATTCTTGGGGGGAGGGGGCAGCATAATTGAGTATATTTCGTGCATATTGCTCCTCTGCAACAATTTCTCCCTTCGATTAGACTCTCAACCACAGAGTTTGAGCAAACATTAAGACACCAGCATCAGAACTTTATTCTTCTGAAGACTCTCGTAGTTTTTACAATCTCTATGATACTCAAATTTCACTTAAATCTGTGTTTCTCAACCAGGGGTCATATTACTCTCTAAGATTTTAAGGCAATAAAAGCAAATGACTGTAATCAACTTTTTTTTAAATGGGGGTAGGGTGGGCCATACTCAGCGATACTCCGGGATTACGCCTTACCTTGGGCTCAGAGATCACTTTTGGCTGTGCTCAGGGGATCATATGGGGTGCCAGGGATAAAAAATCAGATCTGCTGATGCAAGGCAGTACCCACCCGCTGTATTATCACTCTGGTCCCTGTAAATCAACATTTTAAACTAAATTATTAGTCTTCCTAGTAAATGGGGATATATTTTATATAACATTAAAGTCATGGTAGTCATGGTTCTCCCATTGTTCATCGATTTGCTCGAGCGGGCCCAGTAACGTCTCCATCATGAGACTTGTTGTTACTGTGTTTGGCATATCAAGTCCGTCACGGGTAGCTTGCCAGGCTCTGCCCTGCGGGCGAGATACTCTCACAGCGGAAGCATGCTGGGCCCATAACCAAGAGGTCGATAACATTAAAAGCAACCTTATATCATATCTATTTTGCTACCAAATCCTAAGTGAAACATACTCCTTTTTTCTTTTTATTGAATCACCACGAGATACAGTTTCAAAGTTGCTCATATTCAGTTTCAGTCATACAATGTTCCAACACCCATCCCTTCACCAGTGTACATTTCCTGCCACCAAAGTCCCCAGTTTCCTCCTGGCCCCCACATAGCCTGCCCTCTATGTCTCATTCTCTCTCTCTCTCTCTCTCTCTCTCTCTCTCTCTCTCTCTCTCTCTCTCATTATCTCTCATTTTCACTCTCCTTCTCTCATTTTCTCCTCTCTCTCCCCTTTCTCTTATCTCTCTCTTCCCTCTCCCTCTCTCTCTCTTATCTCTCTGTTTTTTTCCTTTAAGATATGGTGATTTTCAATACTATTACTGAAGGGTTATCATATATATCATAAATCTAGGACATCAATGTAACAGCCTTAACTGATACTGAGGCTACCGCTTTCAGAACACAAAAGTGGGGGTGTCCAATTTTACCACGACACTCTCCCTTTCCATTTCTAAGAAAAAGTAGAGTCACTCGACCAGGCGACTTTCCCAGGGCTTGAGACCCCACCTCAGCTCCTCACCACATGTTGAGCATTTGATCCGTGGTCAGGTAGGCACTTGCCTTGCATTCAGCTGCAAACCAGCAGCACATGATTACGCTTGGGTCACACCTCACACAGAGTTATTATAGCCCTCTCCCAATTTTCTTGTTTGAAAATAAGTTTATGATGAAAATTAAAAGTTCACTGGTGTGAGAGAGAGCACAGGGTCAAGGCATGTGGTTAATCCAAGTTGACCCCCTGACACCACATAGGGTCTCCTAAGCACCACCAGGAGTGATCCCTGAGCGCAGAATTGGGAGGAAGTCTTGATATGCCCCCAAACCAAATTAATTTATTAAGTTTTATCACAAGAAAAAAAATAATGCAACTTTGTTTGGTAATTGAGATTTTAGACTTTTTTGTGCTGATTACTGTACAGAATAAAAATATAAATACAGAATACAAGTATACAATACAAATATCAAGTTATTATACCATATCCCTGGAATTAATGCAATGTTTATATTAATTTCATTAAAAAACTTAATACAAGAACACCCATATAGAAATACAAAATAATCTTCCCTCTACCAGTGTTATCTTCCCATGGCCAATATCTATGCAGTTTATATTTAAAAAGAAAACCACATATCAAACATAAATTTTTGTAGTAATTGTAGCTTAAACCAAGCAGAGATGGAGGGGTCACAACTTATCTGGTTGCAGGGCCATCTATGCTAATTTATGGTGTCAGGAATATTAGAACAGAGTAAGGACGAATGTAGACTTGTAATAGTGCCATCAATATGGTAGCCACTAGTTCCGTAGGCTACTTAAATTTAATTAATTGAAATTAATAAAACTTAAAATTTAATCCTCAGTGGTACTACTCAAGCATCAAGTGTTTATCAACCAACTATAGGTGTGTCTTTTCAAATGGGACTGCAGAGGAAGAGTCAGAATACAGCTGCCTCTAAGCTCCACTACGACTAACTTCTGCCCTGTGCAAACACTTGCTCATTTTCTCCAGGCACTGCCGTTTTGCCACAATCAGCTTTTTTATATAAATAGAAATGAATATTTTAAGTAAATATTTTAAGTAAATATTTTCTCCAGGCACTGCCATTTTGCCACAATCAGCTTTTTTAAATAAATAGAAATGAATATTTTAAGTAAATATTTAAATAAGTAAATAAAATAAATATTTATTTCTAATTCCCAACATTTTAAAGCACAGTCAAAGTGAGGGCTGAGGAAAAATAATAAAATGAAGTTTTTGATGGCCCTGTTTACTGTGACTTTTGCAGAGGGGCCTAGCACATTGAGACAAGCAATCCCTCCACCTGGGAATAATCACAGGGGAGTGCTCACCTTGGACGGCCACAAACGCTTTGCAAGGTCCTCT